TTAATATTTTATTTTTATTTTTTTCCCTATTTTTTTTGTAATCCATCATCCTTACCTACCTGTAATAATAATTTTTTAATTCCCCTTGTTTTCTTTTTTCTTTTTCTTTTTCACGAAAATTTGTTTTTCGTAAAAATCCAACGTCCTCTTCGAAACTTTGCGAAATTTCTTATCCCCCAAAGCATTCTTAGTTTTTACGTATATGTATATATGTGTGTATGTGTGTACGCGCGTGTGTTTATTTATTTGTTTGTTTGTGGTATGAGTATGTACACGTTGTTCGAACATTGTTCTCTTAACAAATGAATTTTCCTACTATTAGTTAAAAAAAAAACATAATTAATTCGAATGATACACCACACTTTGTCAAACAATTACGGACGGTGTTACATTGTTCGACGATTATTCGAATATTCGATTACATTTATCTATCTTCGTTTTTATAATTAAAGCAAATAAATGAGATACGATCGATTGTGTTTTGAAAATAAATTATTAAGAAAAAATCAATGAAACGAATCGAATATTCAAGCGTACGAATGATGATGGAAAGATGAAAAGGAGAAAAAAACAAAAAAAAGTTCGAAAGAAAATCAATCGACGAATCTGATGAACGTGTCTCTGTGTATGTGTGTGTGTATGTGTGTATGTGTGTGCATATATATATATATATACTATTTGTATCATCAGTCACTTGAACTCGTTTAAGGATGATTTATGAAAGTGTCTAGAAGAAATAATAATCGTCGAGAGAAACTGAAACTACTGAGAGAGAAAAAAATATAGAAAGAGAAAGAGAAAGAGAAAGAGAGAGAGAGAGAGAGAAAGAGAGTGAGTGCAAAGTATTATTACGAGGTATAGTAAGTAAAGAGAAGAAAGGAAGGAAGGAAGAAAAGAAGGAAGGAGAAACGTGTTGTATAAAACAAGCTATCCTTTCTAGACTCGTCTATGAGTCATCTTGAACGGACCGGTGACCCCGTCCATTCTTTGCGAGCATAATACGAAAAAAAAAAAGCATAGAAGTGTGTCAAAAGTCGACTGCCTCCACTGGCTCTGCTCTATTTCGTAACGAGAGTCCGCACACATACATTTTACGTACATTACATAGAGTTATTTACATGAATATTTGCATACATGCATACTTATACACACATATACACATACATACATACATACATACTTATGTTAAACTAATACATAATTGTGCTGATAATTATGACGATAAACTAAATGAACAAATTGTTAACATTTTGTTTTATTCATTTATTTGATATGATATATAAATCATTTTAATATATATTATGATAATAGTAATTAATATTTGCAATTTGTTCACTTATCCATTGTCGTAATTATTGGTACATACAGTAAATCACAGGAATATTACTCGTACTTCGCCACTTCTCCCTGTCAATTTGAAAATAATTTATATTTATTTATAATTCGCACAGTTTTCTTTTTTTTAATCTATTTTTTTTACAGGAATTTATTTTAAGATTATTTAAATTTCAAATTGATATCAATTTAATTGCAAAGAAACATGCCATTATTAAAAGAGATATAATTTTATTTAAATGATCAAAAAATTAATCTAACAAGAGTATTTGCATCTCTACGCAAGATATATAATAAAAATACAATGATTATTTTTCTAAATAGAGTACTTTGTTGGTTCTCTTTTGTATCTTCTGATACTTTTCAGACGAGATTTGCCATACTCTTGTGAGATCAATTATCATTTACGTTTAATCATATTTTTCTTATAATAAAATAATCTTTCGCAATCAAATTGTGACATGAATTTATCAAAATTTAATAATCCTAAAATATTTTTATGTGTATATATAAGAATATTAAAATATTCATATTTATATTTAAATTGACAGTAAGAGTACGAATACTCCTGTAACTCACTGTACGTGCACAAAACGTGTGCTCTCTGTCCGCCAATACAAGTGTAATTATTAATTCCGATACACGTTAAGTCACCGAAACCAAAAAAAATTAGGTGAAGAATAAAGCGAGAAGACATTTTGTTGAATATTTTTCTTTTTTTTTTTTATTTGCTTTTCTAAAGACAAAAGTAAATAAGTAAGTAAAAAAAAAAAACAAAAGAGAACGAAGGGCATCTTTTTTGAAATACATTGTACGTACGTTTTTTAAAGTACTACTCCGAATAAAAGTGCATAAAAAAGCGTAACTTATTATTATGTATTAAACGATATTAATAAAAATGAGGAAGAAGAGGAAGACGAGAAGGAGGAGGAGGAGGAGGAGGAGAAGGAGGATTATATAATGATGATAGTGCGAGAACAAATCTATGTATTATATTACTTACGTATTACGTACGCTACAACACTGCACACTCGTGGTGAACAAAATGTTAATTCCGTGTGTACGAGGTGGGGGTAAAAAAAAAAGGGAAAAAAAATTTTCATTCGGAATGAGAATTAGAAACAATTTAATGTTTGCCAGGAGAACACACACGTGTCACGCACAAAATGAAATTTCTAGGACGAAGATAAAATTTTCAAAAGTAGGAGGACGATGAAACGGTGTTTTCAAACACGCATACTCGTCGTGCATGGATTTGGTAGTCGCGCATGCACGTTTTTTGTGTAATAAGCGTACATATACCTTCTTATTGAGAGAGAGAGAGAGAGAGAGAGAGAGAGGTAGAAAAGAAAAGACGAAGTCGGTAAAGATAAAGATAAAAGAAGAAGAATAAAAAAGAAAAAAAAAAAAAGAGAAAAAAAAAAAGAACAAACATGTATAATGTACGACTTTTTTTAAACGTAGATAATTGTAAACACCGATGTACTCAGTCTATGTTTATATACGTGTTTTATATTAACGAAGAATATGAGTCGAGAGTATAAGGTGCCAAAGATGCAACGAGCGAGTAGAATTGTATAGCGCGATAAACATTTAGAAAATCGTGGAAGAATATACTCTATTGTCTGTGACTCTAACTTCCCATTGTTTCTATATTCATGTCGATAAAATGAAAAAAAAAAAAAAAAAAAAAAAAAAGAAAAAAAAAAAAGGAAAAAAAAAAAAATGGATTGAAAAAAAAAAAAAAAAAAGAAAGACATTTATTATTATTAATCTATTTCTTACTGCAAAGTTTTNGAATTGTATAGCGCGATAAACATTTAGAAAATCGTGGAAGAATATACTCTATTGTCTGTGACTCTAACTTCCCATTGTTTCTATATTCATGTCGAAAAAAAAAAAAAAAAAAAAAAAAAAAAGAAGAAGAGAAAAAAAAAAGGAAGAAAAAAGAAATGGATTGAAAAAAAAAACAAAAAAAGAAAGACATTTATTATTATTAATCTATTTCTTACTGCAAAGTTTTCTTTACGTTTTTCCACACGCAACGTTCGGCTAACTTAAATTTCATCAATATTAATGATTCGATAATAATATGATTCACAAAATCCTTTATTATTAATTATTTGTAATATATTAATTAGAATGATTAATGGGGTTTATTTCAAAAGTAATTTCCAATATCGCTGAAGTATTACAAAATATTGTTTTCATATTTAATTTTTTATTCTTGTTTTATGCACATTGGTGGTTTGATATGAAAAATGATAAAAAGTTTTTCAAATGGCCGGACGCTGCATCTTTTTTAAAAATCACTCTTTTTTTTTCTTTTTTTTTTTTAAGTTTATCCTAACGAAAATAATCGTATTTCTTTTTCTCCAGCAAAGAAAAAAACTGATTAAAAATCGGGACGCGGTAAAAATAAATTGAAAAAAAAGAAAAAAAAAATCAATAATAACAGATAATTCATATAGAACGAAATAAATTCTTACAAAACTCGTCTCTCGATAGTTTTGTCAATAATTTCGAAACGAAATGGGGAAAAGGAAATCGATACCTATCCTTTTTCTTTGATTCAATAATTTCCATGTGTTTCACCAGTTGCCGTTAAGTTCGTCTCCACATCAATAACAACAATTGTTTATTTCGAGCAGCTCGAGAGAACGAAGAAGAAAGATGAAGAAGAAACGAAAAAGTAATAAAACATTTCACACACACACACACACACACACCCCCGCGCCCACCACATATTACTCGACTTTGTACGCGATTTCAGAAACGATTGAAGAATCATAATATGACGTAAACATAGATTTCTCGTTTAATAATAGCAAGGGTTATGAAGTTCCTTGTCCTTGCAATAAAACAAATTTAACAGATGTCCGAAAATTCAAATAAAAGATTTTTTTAACAAAATCTTATAAGTCAAGACATTGTTTCCCTACGCGCAATTATCGGCAACGAAAAAAAGAAAAGATAAAAAAAACATTTTGTTTCAACCCTCTTGTGTTTTAACTTCTTTTTACGTTTATACAAAGATTTTCATTATATACACATCCAATCCGTATAATTCAAACCTTCGAAAGCCTTTTTAATTTCCAAATTTCTATTTTGTAATTTCTGGCATCTTGACTAACAATTATTATTGTTAATTTTGACTTTGCATGGTTACTTCAACTGTAAATTCGATTTTAATAATTGAGGAGTAGGGGTTGAGGATTCGAGGAAATACAAAAGTAAAAACTAATACATGAATAAACTTTAATATACAAATATTGTACGAAGTTCCAAGGCATGTCATTTCCTCTGCACACGAATTTAACTTTGCTTTATTTTTTGTTTCTTAAAGAATCAAACAATCGGTCGTGTATTTTTATTTACACCCTCCGATCGTTGGAAAACGATGCGAAACTGTGCAAATTTATTTTCGTATAATAAGAATTTTAAATAACTATAAAAAGGAAAAGAGAGGAACAATCTTAAACGTTTCTTTGTTTTACAGATGACTGAGTTACACACGACGTTCTTTTTAATTAGGATCGTCGAAGAAATCCGCATCGTTGAAGCCTACGTTTGTTTCTAGGGGGAGGGGGGGAAGACAAAAATATCAAACTAGAAAGAAACGGTGGTTTAAAAGAACAGAACACCGTTTAAACAAAAAAATATAGAGAGAGAGAGAAAGAGACAGAAAAATTGTCTAATAGCGAAATGGCACGGACAATAAAATACAGGCGATAGTAAGCTATTGGATGTTAATAATAATAATAAAAAAAAAAGGAAAAAAGAAAAATAGAACAAGTAGTATAAAAATATCTCTCGAAAATCTTCTTACGATCCTACGTAATAATTGTGATTACGAAATTATATATTTAAGATATCAATCAAATATACACGAAAAAATTAAATTCTATTTCTTTTACTATAATTCAAAACTCTTGTTATTAATTATTTGTGAAATAGGAACTAGGGGATGATCGATCAATTAATTCATTCATACGAAAAATAATTTGCAATCTCGTTAAACTATTGCAAATATATTATTTCATCTTTAATTCTTTCCTCTTTTTCGACAAAAAGATAAACTTAATTTTAAATCAAAGGATTAATAATAAATGCTTACTCTCGCCTAATTATACCGGAAACACGTAACAAATAGTATTAAAGTAATTATACGTTCTTTTTTTGAGACGCCATTTTGGCGCGTCAATTTTTTCTCATTCAATACTAATTAATTAATAATATAAAATTCCTGATATGAGAGAGAAAGAAAGAAAGAAAGAAAGAAAATGAAAGGATACTATTATGCGCGAACATTATTAATTAGAAATTGTACGTTTATACATTGGGTGCTCAGGAACGTCTACATAAAAAATATTCGCAATACGAGTTTGCGACAAATTTATCCTACAAAAAATTACACGTATAAATCTATTATTGTTTTATGTTGATATACTTTCGCGTAAAATTCGCTGTACAACAAAAAAAAACAAAAAGAAGATAATATTTTTGCCATTCGTTGTCTTTGTTTTCGTCATCGTCGTCGCCATATTATTTTTCGTGATAAAGGTAACTATATGCAACGATACATTCATTTTTATTGTTATATCTAATGCCATTTTGATATCTACGAAAATATTTTCGTTCTAATCGTTAATTTATCGTGCATCCTTTCTCACGCAAAAATTCTGATCGTTTGTCCTTCCTCGTATTTAAAAATCTACTCTCTTACATATGCACGCTGCGTATCGCTACTAATATTTCTATTTAAAAAGTTAGCCCTAAATTGAACAGATTACCTTTACTTGTACGTATCAATTCGTATAGGAATTATAACAAGCAAAGGGGGGTCCGTTTACTAAAAAAGAACTATATTATTAAAATCTAAAAGGCACAGATCATCAATACTTCACCGATTAGATTAATCGTCGACAACAATTAGGTCAACGTAAATACTCGGTTATCCACAGCACCGTTAAATTTATGAGCTACGATTGTATAGGAGAGAAAATAAAAATAAAATAAAATAAAATAAAATAAAATAAAGAACAAGAGAAGATATCAGAGGACGCGAAAGTCGTTAAATTATAAAGAGAGATTGGTCTAACTAAAAGAAACGGACATTCACTTGGCAAAGTCCTTAGACTCGTCACCGGAATGGCCCTTTCTACGGGGTAATTGTAGAGTTATAGGTTGGACGTCTTGAACCTCTTTTGGTTCGTGATTGGAGCTACGAAATGTTATCTTCAAATTGGGTACGTGTTGTTCCCCGGCCCAGTCGAAATTGAAAATAGGTGCCTCGGAATGTAAATCGGAATCTGGTGTGTCTGCAGGAGTCGTCGGTGTGGTGATATACGGACTGAGCTCCTGATGAACCACGTCCGGGACCCTCTGCAACGCGTCGGACCATGCTGGACTGGAACTCCAATGTTCCGTCGAGGACTCGACTGGCTCGTTGGCGCTCGAGCCAACTGTTATCGCTGATGGTAAAACTTTCGTAGGGAGTCGTTTGTGGACGGTACTCCTGTTCGCGTCAGGAAGGAGTATCACATCAAACCTGATTGACCGTCAACCGTACGAATTTGCTCGCTAATGAAAGATAGAACATCGTTTACCCACCGCTGATCACCGGTACATCCGTATTCCTTGTCCAGATCGGTGATGTAATATTTCGGAGTGTCCGTCCCGCTGCTAAACTGGCCGTGATATTGCACAAATTTCCCTCTGTATCCAGCCAAATGTAAGGAACTTTTTTGATGGGACTTATGGTATCTACCGGAGAATTGTCCAAGTCCCTGAGGAGGAGGAGGATGATGATGATGATGATGATGATGATGATGATGGGGGTTGCCATGTTGCGAGTGAAACTGTAGACTCCTGTTGTCGTGTTCTTGGGCACTACCGATAGACATGTCGACCGGTTCTACATCGTCCCAAGGCAACCTGCTAGGATAATCCACCGGTTCTGTCTTTGTAGATCTATGAGATTCTTGATCCAAGTTGCAAATCGATGGAGACTGTTCGGCATCGCTACTGTGTCCCAATGACGATGATCGTACGTATTCCTGTTGTTGCTGTGAACCAGTACTCTGTGCACCAACCGTGTATGCCACGCCACGTGTCTGTCCAGTTGAACATATACCGTAAGTGAATTTCGCTTGAGATGAATATTGATACAACCATGAACTCGATCGCATAACTTCGGCTTCTCTATCGCTAAAATAATATAAAAACAAATCTTGGAATGATCGTATTCGATAATAACTTAGAAATAACGTACCTTAATACTTGATTGGTGCACACGATTATAGGATGCTGACACTCCTCCGAAGTTTCCTTCACTTGGAGAACGCAATGAACCCAGAACCACCTTCCGGAACGACTTTGTAGCCTCAACAAAGCTGTACTCGATCTTTCTTGATCCGATTGTATAACTGAAACAATAAACGTTCAATTGAATACTTTTGTAAGTAAAAAAAAAAAAAGGGATATATTTCATGGAGTAGAACAAATGTACCTGTCTGATGCTTGCAATAAGCCGTTCGTATCGAATCCCAATGCAAAAGATTGTACCACGAAACACCAACGAGCTCCGAACGATTATACTCCATATGACTTTCCGCTCTATACAAATATCTATTTTTGTAATTTGATTTGTAATTTAATATGTTCAAGTGTTAAATGTAAAAAATATTTTACGTTTTATCAATGTGCAGGTACTTCATGTCCATCGAGTGAATCGTAGTAAAAATATTCGTGGCTCCTTGAACGATACTTTCTCGTGTTTCCGGTAAAACAACCGGAGTACAGGATGCCAGAAAAACGAATTCATTACGATTGCAAACAGGAACGAAAGGTAAGAAATGACCTTCAACTAGGACGACCTATAAAAATTGACATTTTTAATCGAATAACTTAATCTCCCGTTTAATTTTTCTTTTTTGTCGCGATAAAATTCCCACGAACTTTAACCTTTTGATCGCCAAACCGAAGCTGCCTTCGAGAATTTCTTGACACGTTTATCCGACAAAGGAATAATCTTCTGTCGTTCGGTGCTGGACTATTTCTTGCCAATTGATTTTGAACTATCATGTGGTCCTGTTTATCTATCACGTCGTAAACGCTATCCCCATGGATTAACAAATCCTCCTAAAGGATTCATAATCGTCATTTTTATTAAAAATTGAAAGATTAATATAATACGTATGTTTTAGGATTATTCTTATATATGATTTTGTATAAAATTTCAGAATTGTCCGATCGATTCTCGGGGTGTGTATGAAATCTTTTCTATTAACAAATTAAATAAAAATATATTTAATAATAAAACAAATGTATTGAGATATGTTTGAATAAAGGAAAAAAAAAAGAAAAAAACTTCATTAAAAATAAAAATTATTTCGCTTGGTGTCAATATATTAAACAAAAAAAAAAACAATATTCCGAATATTTTGTGCAACCTGTGCGTTTTACGTGATGAAAAATTTAATGTAAAAGAATGTATGATGATAGAAATTTACTGGCGATCTTTAAAAATAGATGTTAAAATTAATGTCAGAGTTAGAGCCGTGTATCCTATAGAAAATATACGGATCGTGATTACCATCGAATGCCCGAGGTATTCTGCAGCATTTTCCGATATGTACAATAATTTTCCTTGTTGCGTCATCATCATGATAAATCCGGACATAGCCTGAAAGAATTGTATGCACTGTAAAAAGTATGTTCGCGCTCCGTACAATGGTTGTTAACAATTAATATATCGCGATAGGAAAGAAAGAAATCTAAATACTTTGGAAAATCCGATGTTTGGCGTTGGCATGTTCGATGATTCCGACGGACAATTTTTCAGGGCTGAAACAAAAATACGATTGACGATTAGAAAGGAAAGGAAAGAAAAGAAAAAAGAAAAAGAAAAGAAAAAAGAAAAAATAGAAAAAATAATCCTATCTACGTGACATAGGCATAGGAAAGTACGCGCACGCGACAGTGAACATTTTTATGGCGATGGGAAACGGTTTGGCGATATTTGATTATCATTTACGTGTCTTCTTTCTAATGTTTGCTCTTATCAAACTCGATAAACAACACCTCGAAAACGTGGATCGTAAAAATCGACATCGTATCTTTCGGTTTGTCTACGACTTTAAACGAATATTCGTAAAGAAATTAATAGAATAATGAAAGAACAAAATGAAAAATGGTTGCTACGAAATTAAACGAATTTTCAATAATGTGTGAAAATCAAAGATGAAATGAATATCCTGATAAAAACAAGGATGAAAAATAAGAATAAGAAGAAGGAAAGATCATATTCGTACACACTTTCGTGCAATTTTAAACGAACTCGTGTAGAAAATATAAGAATGATCCGTGAACTTAACACAAATTTTTAAAAAACAACAACAACAATCACAGATCGAGATAAGAAAAGCAAAACGATAGAAATTCGATTTCGATATCGTGAGAAGGAATAAAGACGAACGACAATGATGAAGAATAAGTAGTAGTAGTAGTAGTAAGAAGAAGTAGAAGTAGAAGTAGAAGTAGAAGTAGAAGAAGAAGAATAAGAATAAAAGAAAGGTAAAAACATAAGAGAAGAGAAGAGGCAAGGAGGAAGAAAGGAAAGAAAAGACGATGGAATAAAAAAATGATTATGCTAATGCAACGTGGCTACGCTTGCGAGGTCCGCTACCACGGACTATAGTATTCGATAAGGGGGAGAAAGGGTGGGTGGGTGGTTGGTTGGAAAGAAGAGAAACGGATAGTACGGAGAGGTGGGCGAATAATCAGAAGGAAAGACGAAGAAAGATAGAGAAGAAGAAGAAGAAGAAGAAGAAGAGAGAAAGAAAGAGAGAGAGAGAGAGAGAGAGAGAGAGAGAGAGAAAAGGATAGAAAGACAAAGCTAAAGGAAGAAGAAGAGGAAAGATGGAGGTAAAGGAATCAGTAAAAGAGAGAAAGAGAGAGAAAGAGAGGGTAGGTAGGAAGGAGGTGGGGAAGAAGGGAGGGAGGGAAGGGTTGGGAGGGAGAAGATAGAGCAAGGGAAACGGAGCTTCGGCGAAGAAGGAAAGAAAGAGCGAACTAGAGAGAGAGAAAGAGGAGAGGATATAGGGGGAGTATGGGTTACAGGAGCGTGAGAGTGTTGTTGCAAAGGCCGAGAGGTCAGCGGATCACCCGGAACTCGCGCTTAGACTCTACGGAGTTTGAACGCGCGCCGATCTTGCCTTCTTGCCTTGTACCTTCGCGTCCCTCTCTCTCTTTCTCTCTTTCTCTCTTTCTCTCGTTCTTTCTTTCTCTCTTTCTTTCTTTCTGTCTTTCTCGACATTACCTACCTTTACGCGAGCAAGCGAACTAGCTAGCTAGCTAGACGGCGTACCTTAAAACTTCGAGACTTCTAATACACACTGATATTACATCGAATGTTAAAGAAGTAAACGGGCGCGAACTATATGGCGGGAGGGCAGGGTGGAGGGGGAGG